GTGGTAGAGCGCTAGCCTTTAGCTGAAGAGCTGAGGGACAGCGCCCAGGCCCAGAGTTCGGGTCCCATGACTGGACCCCCCCCCAAAAAAAAAAAGAAAAAAAAGAAATGTACTCTTTATCTGATTTATGTAATTGTAACATCTCTGTACATCAGCTTTATAATAATTTTACAAAGATTTGACATCTCACCAAAGAAAAATGTAAATGGCATATAAAAAGATGTTCAATACCATTAATTATTACAAAACTTATAATAAGATTTTATTATATACCAACTTGAATAGCTGCAATCAGAAAGTGTTGTCAAGACTGTGGAGAACCTTGAACCCTCATTTTTTTAGTAGACATGGAAAATGGCATAGTTGCTTCAGTTTCCTAAAATTTGGTTGTTTTTTTTTTCTTGCGGGGGGGATCCGGTCGTGGGACCTGAATTCTGGGCCTGGGCGCTGTCCCTCAGCTCCTCAGCTCAAGGCTAGCACTCTACCTCTTGAGCCACAGTGCCACTTCCGGCTTTTTGCTTTTTGCTTATGTGGTGCTGAGGAATCAAACCCAGGGCCTTAGGCATGCAAGGCAAGCGCTCTACTACTGAGCCACCTTCCCAGCCCCAGTTTCCTAAAATTTGAAATACACACTTACCCCACAACTTGGCAGTTCCACTCACAAATATCTTTTAAGTGGCATGTAATCATATTTTCATAAAGACTTGTACACAAATGTTCTTAATTCATAATAGCTAAAAATAGAAGTAATGTAACTGTATATTAACATTTTATGAATGAACATACGAACAGAATCTTCTGAGCAAAAAAAGGAATAAGGTATTGATATATGCAACAACATAGAATTTAAATATTACAAGTAAAATACTACAGACCTAAAAAGATACAAATTATATGATTCTATTTGTTTTAAATTTCTAGAAAAAGCAAAACTAAAAAGGCAGAGAAAAGGTCAATAGTGGAATTGACAGGTGGGAACAGATTGACTGCCAGTAACCCAAGGAAATTTTTTGGTACAATGTGCATAATTCTAAATACGAATTGTATATATGAATTGGAATATTTGTCCTGCTGTATAAACTTACTAGAATACAACTTGCATCCTTAGAATGAGTGAATTATAAATTATACCTAAGACCTGTAGTTAATACTGTTAAATAGGATTCTGAAAAAAATATGCAAGAAGCCAGCTGTTTAACAGACAATTGCTTTAGTTTTTTTGTTTTGTTTCCCTTCATACTTGTATTTGTAATCTTAGTATAAAGATAGAAGAAATAAAATCCAAATCCCCAGCTAATAGACCAGGAAAGTGAGATGACCACAAAAATGTTTTTCTTTACTCTTCTTTCTCTGTTCTAGGAACTCTTAGGAAAGAATATTGTAGAATTCTGTCATCCTGAAGACCAGCAGCTTCTAAGAGACAGCTTCCAGCAGGTATAACTTTATTTTTCCTGGTTTATGTCTGAATACATATTTTTACCTGTTTATCACATTCAGTTTATTTAAGTACTTATTGCGCTGAGCGCTGGTGGCTCACGCCTATAATCCTAGCTACTCAGGAAGCTGAGATCTGAGGATCGCAGTTCAAAGCCAGTCCACGCAGGAAAGTCCATGAGACTCTTATCTCTAGTAAACCACCAGAAAACTGAAGTGGTGCTGTGGCTCAAGTGGTAGAATGTTTGCCTTGAGCTGAAATGTTGAGGGACAGCGCCCAGCCCCAGAGTTCAAGTCCCACAGCCTACCAAAAAA